GTGGACCTTCAAGTGAACACCAACAAAGATCCATCCAGTAACAGCGATTACAAAAAATAAAGCTATAAGAAGTAAAACATTCGATAAAGGTGTCTAAAAAGGTCGTCACAACACGATGCCCGAATGTATCATGAATGCGTCCATAGATATTTAACCTTAGACACGCAAATAGCGGGTATGTCATGAAGTGAGAACACTGAGAGAGAGAGAAAATATGACCTTATGAGAAGTTTTTTGGTGGATGAAACCAAATTAATTAAAAGTGCCTGAGATATCGAAATAAGTCACTTTCATGATGGGGAGAAAATGAACTCCTCACAAAACCCAACTATTCTCATAACGTTGGTTTTATGACGAGTGATGCCAGCCAACAAACCTGGTTTTGCGATCTCTCTCTCTCTCTCTCTCTCTCTCTCTCTCTCCTACCTCTCTCTCTCTCTCTCTCTCTCTCTCTCTCTCTCTCTCTCTCTCTCTCTCTCTCTCTCTCTCTCTCTCTCTCTCTCTCTCTCTCTCTCTCTCTCTCTCTCTCTCTCTCTCTCTCTCTCTCTCTCTCTCTCTCTCTCTCTCTCTCTCTCTCTCTCTCTCTCTCTCTCAACTTGTTTATAATTATTTTATTATTATTTTATCCTATTGCCACTTTGTAAATATATATGTGTATTAATAGCTACTTATTGCTACTTATGTGAAATGAATACGCTTAAATCAAATCAAACAGTAAGTTGCAGCAAAAGGACCAGTTTAAGGACTGAGATGAAAAGGAAGCAGGTTCTACACTAGGTAAATTCCTATATGTTGATAGTATTTGGAAGTCAGAATTACTTAATGATTAATCCCTAATGCTAATCTAACCCTAATCTTTGGCCCGGCCTTATCACGTTTGCTCTTTTTTGAATAGCCACCGAGGGATATTTATCGTGTGAACTGGACATTCTGACAAGGGTCACCATTTTAAGCCCCATCCGACGTACTGTGGGTTAATGGTTAGATGTTGATAGGGTGCTAGTGGTGATATGTGTTTGGTGTCCATGCTTGTGTAATTCTTTTCATTTCTATCTGCCACTCTTTATACTGTTCGCTTTTTCATTGTCTATACTTTCTGTAATCTGTACTGTTCGCTTTCTTCATGAAGCTGTTCACTTTCCGACGTTTCGTTGATTATATGGTGTGATGGTGAAGTTAGTGTGGGGAGCAGTCGGAGGTGTTAGTAGGAGTTTACTCAGTGGTTAATGAAATATATATAGACTCGTTACGATGTAGCTTATTGACGCAATGAGTGTTATGGGATAATTTTAAAATTCTTCAATATATCCAAAATATTAGAGCAATAAACACAGAGAGCTACAATGAATCTTAATTAGCTGTGTGAATAGGGTTGTTTTCAATTTTAACACTGACGATCACGTTTGGCACTAAGTGAAAGTTAACAGTTAACTGACTTGAGCAAAGGCTAAAGGCTGTCTGAATGTAGAACTGTAAAAAATGTCGCACTGAAAATACCGACAACTGACAATATAAAACGACTTCATCACAACATAGGGATGTTATTGGGAAGTATCATAGTCATCGTACGTAATGATCTTATTTGGAAAACTCTTGTTTTGCGATCTGAAGCTGGACGTGTTTGATGCTCGTTAGTTTTCCCATTGGTTCCGTTGTTGTCGTCATTGTTCATAATTTGCGTAACGTGTTTAGAGGATAAGTTTAAATGGTAGTCCATTTCTTCAGATTTTATGAGAAAAAACTCGATTCAATGAGTTTTATTTTAATGCACAATAGACACATCAAACACATGTCACCACATTACTCTTACTTCCTCTGTCACATAGATACATACTTATGAAATACTTATCAAGATTTTAACAAATTTTAAGGAATTAAACATTCTCTTTGTTTCGATTTCTACTAAGACTTATATTAGAATAAACAAATAAAAAACATACCTCACCATTTTTTTTCTAAACATATGATCGATTTTACCGCTGGCAGTTTCGTGAAATGGCATTGTAGTTTATGGACAGTCACAAAAAACATCCTTCTATAGTATAAAGTTTTCGGTAAGAGCTAAACCAAGCGACACGACAGATGCGCCGCCATTTAAAAAAGTTGACAAACTTTTGGCACGATGCTGTTAATTATTATAATGAACTATAATGACGATGACGGATCCCATATACTATATAGAACAAATCTGAAATTCTGAATAACTTTTAACTGAGCATTTGAATTGTAAAAGTCTTTATTGTCTTAGTAATAAGAACAACACAAATGACGACAAGGATTTCAGCGAGGAAATGCTTTTCACCAAGTGAAGTAACTCGTAAATATGTCAAACCCTAGAGGGACGTTACTCTGTTAATATAGACTTAGAATTCTAAGCCGTGCTGTTATCTACCTTTTTTAGGCTGAACGTACTCAGTACGCACAGCCTATTGCGAATGCCTTCAGTCAAAATTTACCGATCCTGGCCTTCTCATTGGCTGAAATATCGAAAAGAGTTAGAGCCCTCTAGCGGCAATTTTCTGCGGAAATAATGCCGCGATCTTTTAAATCCCTATTTTAAAAGCATCCACAACTTTATTTTTAATAACAATACGATTACCATATATTTAAAAAAGAAGCACAGTGTGGTTGAACTATTGATAAATTCTGAACAATATATTTTACGGAATTTGCTCACGGACATAACCTGTTGAAGAAGATCGAGCTGACGTGATTCTTATCGCCTGCTGTGAATATTCCTAGAAAGCAACCATATTAACCGTAAGCAGAGATACGTCTCTGCCGTAAGTAAGCAAAAAAAAATGTTTTCTTGTATCTTCAAAGTTTATTGTAACTGCGTGACTTGATTTACAGTGTATTTACTGTATGGCGGCTTATGGATCCTTCTCGACATGACGTAAGTGTACAGAACACTGTACGTGCGAGTTGGCGCCATGATAAGAAGCTAGTTTGGGGGGGGGGGCTTGGTGTAAATTATTAACTAACAGTACTTATAAACAAACAAAACTTACAAACAGAACAAGAATTTTGCTTTAATCATTTTACCTCATTAGACGTCACAAAATTGGACTGTTCGTCCCACGCGCATACCCGCCGATATGACACTTTTTCAGGTTTTTCACACCCACCGCCATGACACTTTTTTTCAAGCTTTTGTAGATAAAAAGTTTGCGATTCGTAGGCAAGGTACAATTGGTGCTCATGATTTATGAAAAACATATTTTTAATACTGTACTGATCATGATGTTAACTTTGTTATAACTTATATCTTTTGTCTTTTAGTTTTATTTGATGAAAGTTGATTGTGCTGATTTCTCTATGTGTGTTAATGTGTATCAAAGTTCCTTGAAATGAAAATATTCCTTCAAACAAAACGGGTATAAAAAACCAAGATATTAATGTCTATGATTATCAATTAACTAGAACGAAAATATTTCCATAACATCTTTATTCATTTTGCGTGTCATGGTGACAATATCTAATGCATTGGAGTTGTGAAATAGTAGTAGCTATAGTAAAAATATTGTAAATTTTGTATATATATGGAAGTCTAGTTTAATCTCATAGAACTATAGATATATTTACTGGAATAAAAATATAATCATGATACTTCAAGGGAGATAGGCATGTAAATACATTTAATGTAATTACACTTTAATCTATACGGCTGTGTACATCTTATCTACTTTCCTCAACTACAAATTTAATTACAATAAGTAAGGACTATTACTTTGCAATACATTTAAAATAGAGAAATAGGTATAAAGTCCTTTCGATTTGTCTAAATCCTCATATTGATAGGACAGTAATTGCAACATCTTGGGGATTTCAAAGGTTTTATTTAGTCAACTTCATCATAGAGCTATTTATCATTTGGCTTGTTGGTGATGAATATATGGTTGTGTTTATTTTGTTATTTTATTTTTTTACCTATTTTGATTTGTTCACATTATTGTCGTCAAATTTGAAATAAGAATTAAAGAAGATATAAAATCGCTTAAAATTAAGGAAAATAGCCTCTGGTTCTCTTATGTTAGTAATTTTTGCATTCCAAAGTGTAGGAGCATGGGGAAAGTAATATAGCTTAGCGGTTATTTGTGAACATTTTTCAATACGTTTAGCCTCTCAGTACTTTCAGTACTTTGATTTTCATTAATTTTATCAATTTATATGAATCTCTGTAAAGCCCGATTCCCATATCTTTCACACGAACACTTTAACAATTTTTAGGAGATTTTATGTGTATTTCTTTTAAAAAACCAAGATGATGATATGTGACATGGGATTAATCGGAGTCAAACAGAACACAAACGATTTTAAATCATGTATCATTATTTATTCCTTGACCACAACAAATGAATACTGTAACAATTGCTTATACGTGCTAGCTAACATCGTATCACTTTGGAATTTTGTGCTATTTTTCTTGGATAATCTCTCAATCGAAATGCCTGGTTGAAGTGCCAGATGGACATTTTGGTATCCAGATGTACCACAAGCGTCATATAATTGGGATATCTGAAAATGAAAACAATCGTATTCAGTCGTTATTTCTGTTATTAATGGATGTCAAAAGTTTGACAAAGTCGAGCTGTATATTGGACTATGCTTCTTGATTGATTTTTACATTTTCTAACAAAAAAAGAAGATCACATTCATTTCCATTTTGATTTTCATGCATCACGTGACACCCTACGGTTACGTCCGATTTCAAATCTTTGGCGTCAAATTGGTAACTGAGAATATAAAATCATTTATACGGCAATAGTTTCACGTGATGCATGAAAATATAATAAATGGAAATAAGAAAGAAATGCGTCAGTTCAATACTTTTACTGGCACGTTTCCTGCACACTTCGATCAATACATGTGCCGGCATGCACGTTTCCTGCACACTTCGATCAATACATGTGCCGGCATGCACGTTTCCTGCACACTTCGATCAATACATGTGCCGGCATGCACGTTTCCTGCACACTTCGATCAATACATGTGCCGGAATGCACGTTTCCTGCACACTTCGATCAATACATGTGCTGGCATGCACGTTTCCTGCACACTTCGATCAATACATGTGCCGGCATGCACGTTTCCTGCACACTTCGATCAATACAGGTGCCATTTTAATGTCTTGATAAGTTGTAACAAGACACAAGTAAAATGACGGATCTGATGTCTTTAGGGACTTCCATTTCAATATATATATATTGAACCTCAAGTGGAAGTAAAACTTCCAAGAAAATGTTATTTCTTTGACACTATCAAAACATAGTTAATATCACAGTTTGAAGATTCCAAAATAGTTTGCGTAAGGAAACTTATATATGAGAGGGGGTTCATCAAGTTCCGAGGTTAGCTGGTCTCCTTTTTGTAGAAAGAGGGCACCACACAAGAAACTGGTGTAAAGTCTGTCTGTCTCGTCAGCCGGGTTGCCGCCATACTTTCGTATCATTTGGATGCTGGGGCCTGTGTTTTTCAGGTTCTTATTTCCTTTCTGTATAGTATGATAAAATCCTTGATGTTTATTGGGCTGGTTCTGACTCATTTTGCTGAATTCCACAGATATTGTGGAGTAAATGAAGTACATTCCCCTTTCCGACACCTGTATCATTCTCTTATCTACCACTTCTACTCCGTCAGATACAAATGACGTCACGAAACTGGAATTGGATCTCCATCTTACCGTCGTCAGGTCAGTTTCTAAAACAAATACATAACTACCATCAGTGATTGGTGTTGTGTAAATAATGTGCGTGAAAGATAATTTAGAACAGATGTTGTTCTACACTCATTTTACTTATCTTTCAATATTCAGTACACATTTAGCAAAGGATATTTATTTTTTAATGACTTAAGTCTCACATGAAAGAAAATTTAACAACGAGCGATTTTGAGCAGGGCACACAATTCTAACACAAACGCTAATCAAACATAGACAACATTTCTTACACGTATTTATGTATAATATACTTCAATATGTACCATGTACCTGTGATACCCCCTCCCCCCTCCGATATCTAGTGTTTATGTATAATATACTACATTCTGTACCATGTACCTGTGATACCCCCTCCGATATCTAGTGTTTATGTATAATATACTACTTTCTGTATCATGTACCTGTGATACCCCCTCCCCCATCCGATATCTAGTATTTATGTATAATATACTACTTTCTGTATCATGTACCTGTGATACCCCCTCCCCCATCCGATATCTAGTGTTTATGTATAATATACTACATTTTTACCATGTACCTGTGATACCCCCTCCCTCCTCCGATATCTAGTATTTATGTATAATATACTACATTCTGTACCATGTACCTGTGATACCCCCTCCCCCCTCCGATATCTAGTATTTATGTATAATACACTACATTCTGTACCATGTACCTGTGATACCCCCGATATCTAGTATTTATGTATAATACACTACATTCTGTACCATGTACCTGTGATACCCACGATGTCTAGTATTTATGTATAATACACTACATTCTGTACCATGTACCTGTGATACCCCCTCCGATATCTAGTATTTATGTATAATATACTACATTCTGTACCATGTACCTGAGATACCCCCGATATCTAGTATTTATGTATAATACACTACATTCTGTACCATGTACCTGTGATACCCCCGATATCCAGATGTAGATGTGCCGCTGAGCGACGTTCTTTCCACCACTTCAGTTCCTTGGCGTTCACAACTGTATCGTGACGTGGCGTGTACTGCTTTACATCTGTAAATGAGATATTTTACTTACTTTTATTTCTTACTTGCTATAGCATATCAGAAATGTATTTAACATAAAAAATTGGTTCTTTTGACGAGTACTAGAAGGACGTTACTCCAGTATTAAAGGTATGCTGTACTGCTGTATTAACACTGTACTGTATAATAAAGATAGTCGCCATTCTCTGGTGTGAATTTCGTACAATTCTTATCGTTAATTTCTATTTTGTATTGGATTTCTAATTTTTAGTCATAAATATCTATGTAATGATTATCTATGAAACAGTTGTTACAAGGTTGAATCCACAACTTCAGAAGTTAAAACGCCAATGCTGAATTCGATGTTTTTAATTTTTTAATATGATTGTGAATCTCTCTTCCGGCTTTTCGATAAGAACTTGAATTTCAAAATCAGAAACAAATGTCTCAGAAAAGTGTTTCCCCCTTTTTCTGTTACCACGGAGTCCTTTTTGCGTATGTGTGTGTGTTTTACTAAATGTATAACATAACATAGTACAGTAATTTGTAATACGAATAATTAAAGTACTAGCATACAGCCCTGACTATTACATAGTATTGATACTGCAGTACCGTGTTATAATATCTGATATAACTTGAACCGTTTTGCTGGTCTATATAACTTATTTTAAACACACAGAGAGAGAGACAGAGAGACAGACAGACAGACAGAGAGTGAGAAACAGACAAACAGAGGGGACGGGCTTCCGTATTCAAGCGTAATGTGTATATCTATTTGCAGTATGATAATAGCCCACAGTGCAGTGTATATTTACACGTTACCTAAAGTACATACCAGCTGGTTGTTTACGGGAATGACATAAGCTTATACAGTAGTATAAAATAGATATGACGAAGCAGTGTTTACGTAATTCTGTGAAACTATGCATGGGGAAATGGAAAAAAGAGTCTAATTACTAATATTTAGTGACACTAATTAATCACCCCAATCAATTTCAAATGCACGTTAATTTGATTAGTATTTACTTACCAGAAAATTCAAATCTGAATCGTCTCTCTTCTTTCAGCATCTGAAACATAGGACGTTTGATTTGTATGTAGACATGGATATAGCGTAAGAAAGCAAATTCCCGATTGCTGGTCGGGTGGCGCAGTGGTAATGCTGATATTAAGTGAATGCTTGAGATTGTATCTTTTCTACATCAGGGACGCGTTGATAACCCTAATTAATAGAATCGAAAGTCTTTTCTTTTGAAACCTACAATTTACACAAGCAGATGATGGTGTCACCTGTTTAATATGCACATGTGGCATCACCGTAATTTATATTATTATTTACGAAACGAATTTCAAAACAAATGGTAAAACCGTTCTCTGAACGCCCCTTTTTATGTAGAATCGTTAAATTCCTACAGGTCTTTTTCATTAAACTGAGTTCTATACGGGCTGTTTGTAAATATCAAACTACTTCGCGTTACATGTATGAATAATAAATAATGTATGAAGTGAAAATATTAAAGTGGAGCTTGCAGTGTTTTCTTAAATATGTACTTCATGTGTTGTGTTCCCAGTTTGCCAATACCAATTATCTGGTATTTTATTTTAAGGGATTAAAGTCAGTTTCTAAATTACGGGTTACCTGTAGAATGTCTGTATACCTGTGGGAGATACTTTGTTTGTGTGTTACAGGTCCGTGCTGTTATGGTGTTGGTTTATCGTTTTGTCATTTGACAAGCCTCCATTACAGAAGGTGCCTGTACGTGTCACTGACTACAAGAAAAACATGTCTGTGCAACACCGGGAAATATCAGATTATCGATAATAAGCGCCACATTTAAATGCCAATTGTTATCTTGTATTAGCCTGTTTAAGCTTCAAAAACATCGACAAACAATGAAGCACACGGGAAATATAAAGTTTTCCGAAAAGATTTAAACATATTATACGAGAAGTCATTTTGCTTAATAATGAAGTAAGCAAGTTTTATATGTTATATAGTTGTCATAAAATTCTTAAATGTGAGGACTACATTTTAATATCTCCGACTGCCAAATATCATTTTAAAAAGTTATAAAGACGGAAAAAAATGATAATAGATTGCCAATATATATATACTCTTCATAACAATAAAATGACATGTTACTAAAAATAAAACAAAACGAAAGTAAAAAAAAAAAAAACAACAACACATCCCATTGTCCTTTTTTCTATTGTTCTTTTGTATATTGTGTAATTACAAGACACATAGTAGATCTACAATTCCGACAGAGGCTTCACATTTGTCACCTCTTACAATTTGAATAATTAACCCGGACCTAAGGGAGGAAACTTAACACTTTAACAATTTCCACGAATATGTAAATAAAACTGATATATCGCTGAGTCACCAGGTTATTGATAGCTTTGTAAATCCTCACTGTATGTTTTATGAAATTTTAACAATTGTCGCTGTGATACAGTTATTTTGTTCCCCGTAATGATGATCTGAATTTGTAGAAAAAACATAAATGGATTTCATAGTATTTGTTCCTGGTTTCGGTTTCAACTTCAATGCATTCACGCATACACTTGTGGCAAACGTTAAGCGATAACGAAACGATTGTTGGTCACCGACAATGTATATTATATAGGTCAAGAGGAATGTTTCAAAATGCAAAATATGTGTACTGCAAAATTTGTATATTTGATTTGCATATATATATATACTAAAACGAGGTCGTAAACTTGAAATCATACAGACGTACAATTACTAGTAAAACAAGAAGGTAATTGTTTACTGAAAGGCTTACAGTTTCAATGATCCGCCAGACAACTGGGTCATTTATCTTACTGAATACTCGGGCTCTAAAGGGAGAGATATACTAGCATTTACGGGTTACATGTAGTGAACAAGCCATGTTACACCTGATATAGGTAGCCTAAATACATCATTACGATTACTTACAATATTCACAGCCCGTAGTATGTCGGTGTTGTTGTAACAACACAGATACTTCCCGGTCTGTGTCTGTACTTTGTAGTCCGACAATGCGGTTTCCTCCTGACAGGGAACACACAGGTCCTGAGACAGTTCAAGGCTATCGGGATCAGCAACGGGTTTGAATTGGTTGTAGAGATGAAGAGCCAGTAGACTTGTCAGGGCCAGACCATTCAATATTAACGTGATGAAAAACGACTTCTTCCATACCTTGTCACAGGTATTGACCCGGGTGACATCCATATCGGTGTATTCATTCTCCGTCGCCATTTCTCTCTATACTACAAAACTGTATGTACTTTCGCTTTGGATAGGGTTTACCAGGAAGGTTTGGGTTTTCTAAAATGGTGATAAATACATGTTGTTAAAGTATTTATATATCTGACTCATCACGAAACAATTTATGATAAAAGGAAATTCAGGCTTTTTTTTTAAAATTTTATAAAAAAAAATCATATTTTGAAAATAACCGATTTCAGGGGGGAGTTTGAATGGATTTTATAAAAAAAAAAAACAATGTTCAATACACTATAACAGTTTATATATGTTTTTAAGTATCAATGGATTTTGACGGGTTTTTTCTCAACGTTTTGAATTTTTGTGCTGATGTTTCACGATATTTGATATACTAAATGGAAATTTGGAAGTTATTCATTTTTACTCAATACTCTATTATATATCTTACTAGGTTCTATATATATATAGAATCTAGTAAGTAATATCGGCGGTATGGTCCAATATTGGTACTGGATCCTAACAAACAACTGTTCGTTGGATGCATATTACTGGAATAGATATATGATCAATGAAGTAATAACGACAGTCAGACGAGTTATTTGTCAAATATTCGAGACAATCTGCCCCTATATCAAGACACAAATATTGCATACATCACATACATAGAACATATAATAAATACAAAGTTATAAATCTAAATCGAGAGCGGCGGTTTAAATGTAGATGTCTCGATAATCTTAGTTGAATACATAAACATAAATTGTTAACGAAGACGGATAATGAGGACATTTTGAGATTTCGGCATATAATTAGACATATATATGAGGGCTGATTGATAAGCTTTGAGCCTTGTATTGAAGAAGTAAGGCAGGTATGTCCTTTTTCAGCTGTACTATTCCCTGGCTAGTTAAGGCTCTGACTCTGACTGGTGTCATTTTTCAGTTTATGTCGATGAGGTAGCAACAAGAAAAGTTACTTTTGTGTTATAGACAAATCGCTGAAAGAACAATGATTCAATATTTGCATGAGAAAGGTCAAGCACCTAAGGATATATGTACTGATATGGTAGCAACACTACAGTGCTACAGTGAAAATGTAATTGTTGGCATTTAAGCGTGGCGGTGAGAGCCTTGGGGATGACGCCCGTCCTGGAAGGCCTGTCACTTTTTCAAGTCCAGAAATGTTCGATTAAGTCAATGGTATTGTTATTGCTGACAGGCGAGTTATAGAGAGATATATAGCCAGTCACAGGTGTGATTTCAGAGAAAAGAGAACATTTCATTCGTACGGAAGATCTTGAAATGAGAAAGCTCTCGACCCGTTGGGTACCAATACTTCTGACAGCTGATCAGAAGTACACAAAGCGGACTTTGTCGCGTGCTAACCTGGACCCTTAAGAGGCAGAATCATGCTAACTTTCTGCAGAGGCTTTAACTATAAATGAAGCGTAGGTCCGTAATTCCACCCCAGAGGCCAAACAACAGTCTAAACAATGGAAACATCTTGGATTACTCCCGCCGAAGAAGGCTTAGACTGTTCCATCAGTTGGAAAGGTTATGACTTCGGGTTTCTGGGATGCTGATGGTATTCTGATGGATGGTTATCTGCAAAAGGGACAAACAATCAATGGCACATATTGTGCATCTCTTCTTAGGCAAAATTAGGGGAAATGTTAAGCTCAAGCGCTGTGGAAAACCCAGTTGAAATGTGTTGTTCCAAAAGGACAATGCCACTGTTTACAAGTATGCCATAGCCATGACTGATATAAACGATTGTGGCCTTGATTTGATTTAGCATCCGCCTGATCTTACTCCATCAGTCTTTCATCTATTTTCAAACTGAAAAAAGGTCATTGTCATTCCGGTACCCAGTTTCGGTCAGATGATGACGTCATACATGCAGCGGAGGACTTTCTTAACGGTCAAGAAAAGGACTTCTTTAAAAATGTCATTTAGACCATTTAACATCGCTGGCAAAAGCGTATAGACACTTAAGGGAATTACGTTGAAAAATAATGCAATGTGTCCGCCAAAAGGTCCAACAGTTAAATATAGGGTTCACAAGTAATCAATCAGCCCGCGTTTATATAATTCATTTTGCATTTTTATAGGAAAATTCAGTTTTCTGATTCGTCCATTTTTTCTTTTCATTTCTCGATGAAAAATAACAAATTCAAATATCTTACAATTACTGAAAACGCTTCCAAAAAGTATAAATCGTATTAATATACTGTCTTGTCAATTATTCTGAGATGTTTACATGCTAATACCTCATACATTTATTGGCGCTTTGGGCATGTTCGTGGCAGACACATCTGTTCACTGATATAGTGCATAGAATGCTACCCATTCCGAATTTCCTCTCAGTATGCGTGGCCTAGGTTCGAATCTCGAAGAAAACATGCGTTGACCATTGAAGCATAACGATCAAATAACCTTTTATTACTTTAAAAATATGATTTTTGGAGCTTCCTTTTGTCTTCACGATTGTTTAAAACCACACTGTTTGTGGAAACTAGCTCTGAATCACCCTAGTTCTCTCGATAATATCCGTTACGTAATCAAACTTATTGTTTCCATACGAAACTCAAATACACAATTTTTGTGTCATTTTTGTGGATACTTTTATACAGATATTGTGAATCATGCAATTCTACATTGTTCATTAACGGAAATTGTACGTGACGATTTATGGTGCGCAATTGTGTCTATTTCGAGTATTGAATTTATTTCATACTTACAATCGTTGCCAGATTATATATTGCTTCACATTTTACTAGGAGGTCCTCTGGCCTATCAGTTAGTCAAACATGATTTTGAACAATTTAGACTGAAGTCAGCATGTTCTATAAAAAGGATGCTTGAACTATATGGCTATGTATGGTGCGACTGGAGGCCTTCTATATTATATACACTTAAAACCTATTATTGTGACATATATACTTAGTATTTAATTATTTCATAACATTATAACTTGCAAGATAATTCTTCACGGAGTATAAATTACATAAAACTAACATATTGTATGTATAATCATAATTTGTAAAATCTACATTAATTTCCACCTTAATTGTATGCTTTTCAAGTTGATTTATTTTGTAATTTGTATGTAATACTCTTCATCTTTGGAGGAAATAAAGACAATAATGAACGGTCTCTTTGTATAGACCTTATGAGATATTGCCAAGAATACCAACCTAATGACGGTATCACAAGTATATCTATACGACAAATGGGTCACGTATTTGTAATGCTCTAAATTGGCTCTTTGTATAGACCTTATGAGATATTGCCAAGAATACCAACCTAATGACGGCATCACAAGTATATCTATACGACTCATGGGTTATGTGTTCGTGTAATATTATATCAGCTTTTAAAAATAATGACTGCCAGCTATTTTTTTTTATTTGAAACGTATATATTTCGGTTAACTAAAGCTTCCTGCTAGAGTATTTTAAAGCATACCCAATAAGAAGACTGCGTAATATTTATAGAAAACTCCAGACAAGGAACATTTAATTCATGGGCTGACACAGATACACGATTTTATTTCAAACCTTACAACACGGAAATAATGTTCCACAAACCTACACATAAAGATATCAGGTGAAATTTTAATGAGGGAGTTTGTCGTCACTATGACTGTATCGGTCATGTGCATTGTACCATATATTTTTGAAAATCATTGGGTCAGATACATAGAAAATGGTGATAAAATATGTATTTATAATGTATTTATACCCTTAAACTTAAATTACAGCACAATTTGATTAATGGAATATATAATGTTGACATGGCTATTTCAAAGCTCTTACTGGAGTTTTAGTATTTGCATGACTATTTCAAAGCTCTTACTGGAGTTTTAGTATTTGCATGACTATTTCAAAGCTCTTACTGGAGTTTTAGTATTTGCATGACTATTTCAAAGCTCTTACTGGAGTTTTAGTATTTGCATGGTTATTTCAAAGCTCTCACTGAAGTTTTGGTATAGTCGAGATGGCCGAGTGGTTAACACGTCTGTCTTTATCACTTGCCCTTCACGTCTAACCGTCTTATCGGTTGCCCTTCACCTCTGGGTGGTGGGTTCGAGACATACGAGGGGCAGTACTGGCCGCAAGTCAATGGTTTTTCTCCGGGTCCTTAAATGACCCTGGCTGTGACGTAAAGGGACGATAAGCCAATTAGCAAATCAAATATCAACTAAAGAGAAGTTGTTTGGATACAGCAGGTCTGTTGTCCTGAATGGCGTCAACACAGGAGCAACCTTACGAGATTGTCCATAAAAAGTCATCATTAAGACGTTCGTGTAGATACATCAGCCGTCTTCTCGCTACCCTATGCATTAACATATATGTCTGTTTATTATTCACATTCACTTAATGTTTCATAAGTAATAAATTTTATTCAAGCGGTTAACTGATATGTAATTGTTTTCAGTTAGTTACCGATACTGTGATGAATTGAAAAAGCATTGGGTTAAGATTTCGAATTCGACATGAGTATATTACAACTAGCGAATTTGCCATCAAAATTACAAATTCACAAAAATTCATACTGTCTTGGTCCTGGTGTTTACAGTCAATTTGATGTTGTTCATGTGTTGAAAAAGATCAACTTCATTTAGAACCTGGAGCCCTCCCTGACCCGGAAAACACCCCAGATGTTTGCCATTGGGGACCCGTAAAGAAAATGTTTGTTTGATATTGTTGGATAAATACAATCTTCTGCGTGTAAGTACTTGAAGCCGAAGAAGCTGCTGGTGACAAAGGATTGACTGCGAAGGAACAGGACGATATTCCTCTCAAACAGGACCAGGCTCCGATTACCAGCTGGAGATTCCAGAAGTATTCTATGAAAGATTTCAGCCTTGTCAAAGTTCTGTTGATTAAGAATTGCAAAGGTCATAGTGTTGTACAATCCGTACATTCCATTCTCCGTTATTGTAACCGATCCGTTACCTTCGAGTTGAGAACCGTAGTAATTGTTCATCCATCTCAACGAACCCTCTGTATAGTCCGATACGATGAAATGATAACAGTTAGAGTGTATCAGACTTTTCATTGGGTTTTTACTCTTTCTTTTGGTGCTTGTAAACTGCCACTTTATAGCGTACATCTGTATAAAAACAGATATTTAAACTATATCTCGTGGAATATGCAGCTCATAATGATAAAAAATTAAACTTACAACTGGTACAAAACACTGTAAATAAGACACAAATGTAAAGAACAGTAATATTTACTCGTAGACATGACCGAATTCTATTTCGCTGTGCATTGTGACACCTAATTATTACCAAGTTTGTATATCTCTCTATATGGTGAAACCTCAACAGGAAAATGGGACTATCAAATAAGTTAACAAAATTAAGTAGCATTGAGATTTGAAAATTAAAGAAACGAAAAGACGGAAAATGCACTGAAACGATTGACAAATGATACAGACAACAGATCTGGTGTTCCGGAAGGATAAGCGAATTTTGCCTGGTGTGTATGTATATGTCACTAGCTACCCTTTCTTGCATCAGTTAAATGTTTGCAATAATAAATACGTTACGTCAGTAACAGACTTAAAGTGAGTGCAATTTCAATATGAAACATATTCCTTACAGAGGTGGCTAAGACCAACCAAACGCTTTTTAAAGATAAATGACTTAAAATTAGAAAATATGGCTGAGAGGTATGAACTTTCATACATGTACTTACCAGTTTCAGCAATGTGACATAACTGTCCTGCGTCATCACATGACAAGGCAATGTTCTGTCACAGCTTTCCAAGATCACTGATGATCCAGCTTTGTGAGAGCCATATGTTTTCTCTGACTTGTTTCCATCTTCATGACGTAACGTATCAATATTTTTCACTGTGTTGGTGATACACCACACCTCGACTATTAGCAGACACAATAACAACACTGTGCCAATCATAAGCTTGTTAAACATTGGTCTTGTTGATTTCTTTGTAAAATCAACTTCGTGATTTTTTCTAATACTGTTACTTTGCATTAGTGGAACTTTCGCCTTTGAATCGTAATTCTTTTCCATTTTCTTGTAAAACTTGTAGCGCAGAACTCAGTTCAAAGATTTGTACTTTATCTTTAAAACTATATTTATCAAGTATTCATGACTTAAGTATGTAGTGTATTGTAATTGTAAAACGAAAGAAGTAGTAAGTAGGACGCGCGCTGTTATATATCCTGGGTTCGTGTTAAAACAGAAGGCCATAATGAATGACATTTTTCACAGATGTCTTTTATTTCATTGAATCACATAATAATTGTGCTGCAATAATATATCAAAGACCAAATAAAACCACTATAGTTAAAAACGAAAGCATCAACATATAAACATAGCCATACGCAAAACTCCAATTCAATAATTTTGTGTTGAACTGGCGATAAAATTACCATAAAATGCATAAACACAATTAAACATATCTTTAAATCAATAATATGTCGTGTAAATTCCCCGTAATGAGAACCAAAACCATATCCAATATGTGTCTTAGTAAGAGCATGTGCAACCACGTGATCAGTGGTTAAAAGAAGGTAATCTGAAGCTTGTGCTTTGTTAACAACGCAATTTTCAGAAATCGTTGACTTATTAATAAATTTCTCAGACATGAAAACTTCCACAGTTTTTTAATTCTTTATCATTGGCATTTGTCCAGGTCTAATTGGAGTTTTTAAATCATGATTAGGTTACCCATTTAGAGAAGCATATTGCGTAATCGTCCTATGTCTGGATAGTACAAAGAAACGAGTGACTAATATTATTAATATTATTATTTTCATTATTATCATGACAAGTGACTGTATATATAACATATTCTAAAGTACTTTTAGATGAAATTATTATGAAAAATTTATGAAATCATGAATAAAATCATCTATGTTTATAGGATAATAATTAAAGAAATGACCATTCGAATGCGCTCATGAGTCACGTGATATTTTTCATTTGTTGCCGATGAAGCTAGTTTATCAGTATTATTAGGAATGATTAATTTACATGGATATGTTGAAAATAAAACAGTAAAAACATAACATTAACTGCATTTCATGCTCCATGGCCTTATATTTGAATGAGATGTATTCCAATAAAGAGAACTGTACAATTTTTGTCTCGATACTTGTATAAAAATATCCTTTATGTATTGTTTGTATAGGAATTAAAAAATCTTTCATTTAGTATCAGCTGTGCCAACTATACATCCCAAAGCCCGCTCTATAAAACAAATATATTGTATCATTTCAACATCTGTACAACATACAACAAAGTATATTACAATCAACATCTGTCTTGTGTAGATAAAATTGTACAACATACAACAAAGTATATTACAATCAACATCTGTCTTGTGTAGATAAAATTGTACAACATACAACAAAGTATACTACAACCAACATCTGTCTTGTGTAGATATAAGTTGTACAACATACAACAAAGTATATTACAACCAACATCTGTCATCGAAAACAAAAAACTGTTTTGCATTTTGGTAGAATATCAATAAAATTAAATTATCTATCTTATCTCCAACAGACAAACCAGTTTCATATTCTAAAAGGATACAGGAAAGCATGCTCATTACTTGTGCAATATACACGATCTGAAAACATGAAAACTTTATTTCTCAACAATACAGACAATATAACTTTATGATTTAAAATAAGGATGATTTCGATTTACTCTTAAAAGACACAAAATGGACTAGATTTATCATATTTCGGCAACCTATGCCTCGTCAGTGGTGCTTTTATCACAAAGGTTTTTGAACTATTCTGGATGTGATCAGCGATATACACACCAGGCAATTACACATGATGTTACTTACAATTTAGCCAAACATTGGAAATTTTCAATATCAAGATCGGGAACATTGGAATAAAACATATCAATTTACTTGGTACACTGTATTGATAAATGATACAAATTATGAACAGTGATCAATTATCATCAAAGAATTACAAATCCATTTCACAACTGGCATACTTGTTCCCAATCCTTTATTAGTGCACCATATATGATTGCATTCTATTTACAATGTACAGCAAGGATTTCAATTCGATAAGAAGATCATCTTATATTGTGTTACCGATATTGTGAATACCGAATATGGTAGAAATGATGTTATTAAAATATGTTATTATCTTAATTGGTTACCCACACCATACCCACTGTGAGCAGAATGATAAATATCGAATATACCTGTAACAGTGATTCAAATCCAACAATAAAATACTATGGAAAGTATTATGAAGGTCATCATCATTGTAGGTATATTTCTTGTCCGATAACAGCATATCAGAATATTTCAACGTCATTGCCTCGGCTCTCTTTTTAGGAATGTGATATGACTTGATTTGTTGATTCCGGACATCTTTCTTGTTTCCCTTTATGTTAAACATGCAATCGTGTAAATCTTTATTTTGTACATGAATTTGAAATAATGGCAAAAATGTAACAAAAATCTACAGATCATAGGGACAATGTACATCGAAATGTATCTATATTAACTAATTATGTTGACGAACATAATATACTTACATCATCTCTCGGTTCGTCTTTTTCCATATTGACTACATAACTCGAAAAACACCCCACATGTTAGCCTCTTTTACGCTATAAAGACTTGAAGTATCCGACAATGACGGATACACATGATCACCAATATCAAAGGAAACAAATTCAAAAAATAAACTTGTCTGGAATGCGCCTTGATTGGGGTTTAAAACCACTCTCCTTTCAAACATCACTGCTGAGTCTGTTGTACTCTTTTCTACGTGTATCCGATGGAAGACATCGGTAATGTTTTCTGCATTGTCATCTAAGTGTTTGAAAGTAAATAAACTGTATAATCCGTAAGTTGCCTTTACATCAATGGTAATGTTTCCACTTGACACTCCGCGGTTTCCGTAGAAACTACCCACCCACTTCAAAGAGTCATCCGCACACTCTGAGAGGGTGAACTGCTCACAGGTGCTCCTGGCCAGATAGCTATGCGTTACTTTGTTTTCCTGTCTAATCTTCGTTTGTGTTTTTACACCACTAAGCTAAACAATATGAAAAAGAAAGAAAATAACGAATATCGATGTGTTTTTAATATTTTTTATCAAGTTGTAATTAAGACGATATCGAATTTCGACAAATATATTTTTGGGTTGTATATTTAGGATTTCCTTATAATTAAGAATGAAAGCGGCTACTAAACTTATTCATAATCATGATCATCACAAGTTACTTACAATTTTGACAAGTGTTGCATATGTTTCATCTTCAACCATATAGCAAGGCTCAGACTTGTTGCATGAAATGAGTGCGTGCGGTGTTCGGTACCGATTGTATTCAGGTGGGCTGTACGAAATGTCTTCGCTCCGTAGGTTGTTGATGGTCGAAATAACGTAGGTCAGGCACCATATCTCCCCAGCCAACAACACGACAGACACTACGATGCCACCAATAATACAGTATAATCCTCTACTGTCTTTGTCTTTGCCATTGGTTCTTACCTCTGTATATTGCCCCCTTCCCGACATAGTGTTTACTGCTTGTCCTGTGTAGAAGTGGTATCCTGTGTATAATGTAAACCTTGGTCGATCTACATGTATTTTAAAACTGTAAATCTTCCTGGTCGATCTACAAGCCAGTACCTTACACTGTAAATATTAACTAAATTTAGAATTCCAGGTATACATTGAGTAGATAACCGGATTAGATATATGAACAATCTATTTTCGTTTTAGCAGATGACATCATGTTATGTACGTATGACGTATACCTATACAAACAAGGGAGAAAATCACGTATGCTATTTACAATTTATTTACACTAATATACTCAATATACATTTTCTATACCCCGTCTCTTGACCACACACACATTTACACTCCTCCTGATGAAATCTCTCACACGAATGAATATTTACAATGTGAAGTTAAAGAAAATACTGTTACCAGAGTTCATTATCCACGGCTGTCGAGTAAAGACACAGACAGAAAAGTTCATCTATCGCGTAGTCGTTGTCGTCGTCATAGCTACCTATGTCCTTCACCCCGCGCGTGTAGTGAGAGCTCGACACTTCAACGTGACGTAATGACGTTTATGACGTCATAGTATCAAGATATATAACCCTGTCCCGCTCAGGCCCCTAGATCTCCGATTCCTACATGCGTTGCATGCATTATGGTAGGCAGTCCGGCGAGAACCTCACTATACCGTGGAACCAATATAGTCTCTCATGACGTAGAATGATATGCAAAACACTTTGTCTGTTCGAATATTCTATATACGGAATTGACATTTATTCTATAACTCTAACATAAAATTAGCTCAGGTAGAATTCAGTTCCATAAAGAACAACTAACATTATTCTGAATAAAACGAGAAAGTTATTCAGTACTATAAGCTGTAGACAAACTGTACAAACAGTATTTGAAATTGAACCGTACCGGAAAAAATGAGCACGTAATTACGTCACGCATGATTAGCGCGCACCTGTACCTTACCTAAACAATACATGCACACTATTAAGTGTAACTAAAAAACGACGAAATAAGGAAATATAAAGTCATAGATACAAGAACAGATACAAAGAGTAAAGACTGATTCTCGGCTCGTAAATCTGACACGTCTAACCGCTTCAATGGTCTGTTGCTGTGTGTCAAATACGTGGACTAAGACCACAATTAAATACTTACGGGTTAAGGCCCCACGAATGAAGTCCCTAAAAATGTATGTATATTAGGGGGAAAAGTAATATGCCTCTTTGCATTGGATGTTTGCCTATAAATTTGATGTAGATGTGTTATAGAGATGATAATCTAACTGTCAGTGTGTAAATCATTCATATTGAACATGTATTTTGTGCTGCAGGATCCGGTGTAAAAAGTCCTGTTTTCACCTTTACCCCTGACCCGGATGTATATAATTGACGTTGGTGACACACATGGAGGTATATCTCCAGAAAATGCCCAAAATGATGGGTTGAAACTTTTACATTTTGCTTCTCAGATGTTGATCTTGTCTAGGTGAAATGGAAATTTGCAGATGAAACTTTGGGACTTATGAATATTAATGTTACAATGAAACATATAGTGAAATTAATTGTGGTCTTAGTCCACCTACCCGGCGGTGCCTAATTTCCGGGTCGGGATATAAAAATATCCAGAAATTAATCAAAATAACAATAAAATACTTACTTATGAAATATGAATCGTGACATTTTTCACATTTTGATTGGGCTATAGTTGCAACAGCTTTGATTATCAGAGTCAATTATTGAAACGAAAGCAGAACTTTCAATGTTTAAAACTAGCTGAAAGAGATTTTATTAAACGTTCTGATACCTCCATCATACATCAAAGAGCGAGATAATAATTGCTTCTCCTTCACACCTGTTTCAGTAAAACACCTAAACATGACATTAACACATCTAAATGGTCAAATCTTTTAATGACTTTATTTATGTTCTTGTCGATTAGAGCATCCTGTCGATGACAGATACGGACACTCACAAATGACATATCATGTAATATAAGTACAATATTCCGATATTAATCGTGATATTTGCTCCAAATATTGTAAAGTATCGTTGGTAAGAAATATGAAACCGAGTGGGTTCACGTCTGAATACTGAAATAACGCTATTATTGTTCAAACAACATCAGAAAATCTGAGTCATCGAACAGATGTTTCTGTATATCATTAATATCTCTCAAAATTTTCATTAGGTATCCATAAGGTGCTAGAAATAGAATGTAACCATTGTGAACATACAAAGTATTTCTAACTTATTGGTTTCACTAATTCTAATCACAGTTAGTGTGATTGATGATTATAGTGTTTATCATACAAGATATCCCTGTGGTTGATTACTTGGTAAACTCCCCAGTAGTTAGCAGCTGTAAAAGCATACACCGATGAGATATTCTTAATAACAGGAAATAATATGTCCCCCTTCATTAATTCGAAATTTCCAGATAGATCCAATGTCTTGTAGGAGTCTATATGTCCATACTGTATCTGTCCGACTATCTCAGATAGAAGGACTGTGCGATTTTCCTGACGTTTCCGGTATAAGCGATACTCGTCCTTCAGTGGTTTTGCGTTGCCTTCTGTACGGACGAAGGTTACAATACCATAAATATGATAGATACCGTCTTCATTGATCTCCACATGTCCATTCTCTAAAACGCTGACTCCATTTTTGTCATTTAACTTTTGTCTGAATTCCTGAGACTGTCTTCTTGAGCCTACATTAAAAGAATTTGAAGATTTTATTTCGTTTTTACATTCATAGGGTGTAAGAGGAAATAAATATATTTACATCTTGAATACGTGATATAATTCAAAGAATTAAAAAAGAAGAGTTTCAGATAATATAGTGAAATCATGACGAATACTGCAGATACATTGACTAATACTTCAAATCATTAGTTCAAATTAATTTAATTTAATTAATTTATAATCTAATTATAATTGTTTTAAATGATATTTCCTCATTAGCAGGAATAAGAATTGTCCATAAACCCTAAACAGGAATAAGAACTGTCCATAAACCCTAAACAGGAATAAGAATTGTCCATAAACCCTAAACAGGAATAAGAATTGTCCATAAACCCTAAACAGGAATAAGAAAACGACCTTCGAGTCCACGGAAATGTAAGATTTGGGTCGTAGGTCGTGTGTATTTTGGCCACACACGATCTGCACTCTCTGTCTGATCAGGAATGTAATTCGTAGACTTGTTTGCTGCAACCAGCTGTCAAAAGATAATGAAATAATATTGAAAAAGATCTGGTATATATTATTTCTTAAACATCGGCTAAGTAAATCTTTGATATCCTGGTAATGGTAAGATTGTACTATTAGAATATGTTCTGTATAGACATAATATTATTTTTAAATCATTTGACGAAGGTACTTACAAAGTCTATAAGATAGGATAACCTGTGGTCAAAAGCGAAGCAGGAAAATCGTGTGACATCCGTGTGATCTTGTTTCCGGTCGTGTTTGTATGGCATCCATATAGAATTTGCTGATTTGAAACACGCTTTAGAATCAGAATCTGATGCTTTATCCAGTTGCTTGATTGTGCACACAAGAAGATAAAGTTGTAGTATCAAAGGGACTAATAAGATTATGCAGCATATTTTGTGACTGCAAATTCTTCTTACAGCACTAAGACCTGTATTGTTAGATACAAGTTTAGTGCTACACACATCCATTGAGTCGTCCATTGAAGATTTGCCATCCGTTACCAATAATGTAGCCACGGTCATGGTGAATTTACAAATTTTGAATGTATTCTTGAAACAACTATATGATGTGTAAAATGTACTATGTAAAGTAAAACTGTGGTATAGATAGTGAAAGTAGGAATTCCTTAAACCTCTGCTGGAAATTCACAGTGCATCATGTTCTATATATAGCCACACTATAAGCGTCGTCATATCTTTATATTGTAAATAGCATGGCGGTGTACATGCATGACCTCAGATTGTTAAATGTTAAACACTGTTGTAATGAAGATATATTTGAGTTACTTTTTGTAAAGTGTGTAATATTCACTGTGTAATGTTTATGTACAACTGTAAATGATATAGAACATATACAGCGAAAACCACAAAACGTAAACTGATACAATGTAGATATAGTGTTTACACTTACTGCCTACACATCAGTGTGTTTATAGTGTGTTATCGATAGATTTACACGATATATTACATATTTTGTGAAAATTTTGTATTTGTAATATCTTGATTATGTTGGTAAGTTAGATGTACCTATCAATTTTCAAAACTATTGTAAAATTAATATAACTGTTTTTGTAGACAAAATAAAAACTAACGACTAAATCTTTTCTAAAATCACCCAATTCATTCTGTACCGACGTTTTATCTGTGTTCAGTAATCTTCATTTTGTTGGTTCCGTTGTGTGATGTGAAGCTGGACATGTTTGATGCTCGTTAGTTTGTCTGTTGGTTCCGTTGTGTGATGTGAAACTGGACGTGTTTGATGTTCGTTAGTTTGTCTGTTGGTTCCGTTGTGTGATGTGAAACTGGACGTGTTTGATGTTCGTTAGTTTGTCTGTTGGTTCCGTTGTGTGATGTGAAACTGGACATGTTTGATGCTCGTTAGTTTGTCTGTTGGTTCCGTTGTACGATATGAAGCTGGATATGTTTGATGTTCGTTAGTTTGTCTGTTGGTTCCATTGTGTGATATGAAGCTGGACATGTTTGATGCTCGTTAGTTTGTCTGTTGGTTCCGTTGTGTGATATGAAGCTGGTCGTGTTTGAAGTTCGTCAGTTTGTCTGTTGGTTCCATTGTGTGATATGAAACTGGTCGTGTTTGATGCTCGTTAGTTTGTCTGTTGTTTCCGTTGTGTGATATAAAGCTGGTCGTGTTTGAAGTTCGTCAGTTTGTCTGTTGGTTCCATTGTGTGATATGAAACTGGTCGTGTTTGATGCTCGTTAGTTTGTCTGTTGGTTCCGTTGTGTGATATGAAGCTGGACGTGTTTGATGCTCGTTAGTTTATCTGTTGGTTCCGTTGTGTGATATGAAGCTGAACATGTTTGATGCTCGTTAGTTTGTATGTTGTTTCCGTTGTACGATATGAAGCTGGACATGTTTGATGCTCGTTAGTTTGTCTGTTTGTTCCGTTGTGTGATATGAAGCTGAACATGTTTGATGCTCGTTAGTTTGTATGTTGTTTCCGTTGTACGATATGAAGCTGGACGTGTTTGATGCTCGTTAGTTTGTCTGTTGGTTCCGTTGTGTGATGTGAAACTGGACGTGTTTGATGTTCGTTAGTTTGTCTGTTGGTTCCGTTGTGTGATATGAAACTGGACGTGTTTGATGCTCGTTAGTTTGTCTGTTGGTTCCGTTGTGTGATATGAAACTGGACGTGTTTGATGCTCGTTAGTTTGTCTGTTTGTTCCGTTGTGTGATATGAAGCTGAACATGTTTGAAGCTCGTTAGTTTGTCTTTTGGTTCCGTTGTTTGATATGAAACTAGTCGTGTTTGATGCTCGTTAGTTTGTCTGTTGGTTCCGTTGTGTGATATGACGCTGGACGTGTTTGATGCTTGTTAGGTTGTCTGTTGGTTCCGTTGTGTGAAATGAAGCTGGACGTGTTTGATGCTCGTTAGTTTGTCTGTTGGTTCCGTTGTGTGATGTGAAACTAGACGTGTTTGATGCTCGTTAGTTTGTCTGTTGGTTCCTTTTTTGTATTCCACTTGTAAATCTTTCTTTTGTTTAGCCACTTGTTTTGTGGAACTTCACTTTGGACTATGATTATATTATTTTAGTATTCTCATGTTGGTTTTTGTAAGTATTGTATATATTTATCATGTCAATACGTGAATTTTCTTTCTTGTTTTTTCTCAGAAAAATAATACTTAACATCCAGAAATGAAATAACAGTTTATTTTCTTATCATTCTTTCTTGACTTTGATTCCCAAATATACATGTATATGACATCCAAACTGACTTTTTACGAGTGAGTATGAACATCATGATAGCTGACTCATTTTTACTCATTCAATATGCATGTAACACGTGTCTGTGACGTCACTGCTCGTGTTTTCCTGTTATATGATCCTATTTGTTTCCTGTTCAATATATTTTACCGTAAATGTGCAGTAACACATCATTACACCGAAAAGTTTAAAACTGATACCTCGCTAAAACTTTGAACTAAAATAAGAACGTTTACAACAATACTTTCATTCTATGACAACAATAAATTCGTTGAAAGAACAGATCATAATTTGAACATACCATTTTGGCGTTGTTCTGTTATTTCTAAATATAAATCTTTTCACGAGGTCAGAAGAAGTATTGTCTAGTAATTCCGCGTTGGATTTGTTTATGATATGGACACCTTTTGACAGTTTTGTGGGCTCCTGAATTGTTACCAACGAATATATGAAATTTCCTGTATTGGAGTGTGCACCATGTTAATTTTTGTGTATTGTCAGAGTGTGGATTATGTTAATTTTTGTGTATTGGAGTGTGGATTATGTTAATTTTCTCGTTAAAACAGGATTATGTTAATTTTCTGTGTATTGGAGTTGGATTATTTTTAATTTCTGTGTATTGGAGTGTGGATTATGTTAATTTCTGTGTATTGGAGTTTTAATTTTTGTGTATTGGAGTGTGGATTATGTTAATTTGGATTATGCTGTGTATTGGAGTGTGGATTATGTGTGGATTTGTGTATTGGAGTGTGGATTATGTTAATTGGATTATGTTGGAGTGTGGATTATGTTAATTTCTGTGTATTGGAGTTTATGTTAATTTCTGTGTATTGGAGTGTGGAGTAATGTTAATTTTTGTGTATTGGAGTGTGGATTATGTTAATTTTTGTGTATTGGAGTTTTGAGTATGTTTATTTTTGTGTATTGCAGTGTAGATTATGTTAATTTCTGTGTATTTGAGTATTGATTATGTTAGTTTTTGTGTATTGGAGTTTTGAGTATGTTAATTTCTGTGTATTGGAGTGTGGATTGTTAATTTCTGTGTATTGCAGTGTGGATTATGTTAATTTCTGTGTATTGGAGTGTGGATTATGTTAATTTCCGTGTATTCGAGTGTGTATTATGTTAATTACTGTTGATAGGAGTGTGGATTATGTTAATTTTTGTGTATTGGAGTGTGGATTATGTTAATTTTTGTGTATTGGAGTGTGGATTATGTTAATTTTTGTGTATTGGAGTGTGGATTATGTTAATTTTTGTGTATTGGAGTGTGGATTATGTTAATTTCTGTGTATTGGAGTGTGGATTATGTTAATTTCTGTTTATTGGAGTGTGGATTATGTTAATTTCTGTGTATTGGAGTATGGATTATGTTAATTTCTGTGTATTGGAGTGTGGATTATGTTAATGTTTTGTGTATTGGAGTGTGGATTATGTTAATTTTTGTGTATTGTAGTGTGAAATATGTTAATTTTTGTGTATTGGAGTATGGATTATGTTAATTTTTGTGTATTGGAGTGTGGATTATGTTAATTTTTGTGAATTGGAGTTAATTTCTGTGTATTGCAGTGTTGATATGTTAATTTCTGTGTATTGCAGTGTGGAGTATGTTAATTTCTGTGTATTGGAGTGTGGATTATGTTAATTTCTGTGTATGGGAATATGGATTATGTTAAGATTTGTGTATTAGAGTGTGGATTATGTTAATTTCTGTTTATTGTATTATGTTAATTTCTGTGTATTGAAGTGTGAAGAATGTTAATTTCTGTGTTTTGGAGTGTGGAGTATGTTAATTTCTGTGTATTGAAGTGTGGAGTATGTTAATTTCTGTGTTTTGGAGTGTGGATTATGTTAATTTCTGTGTATTGGAGTATGGATTATGTTAATTACTGTTTATTGGAGTGTGGATTATGTTAATTTCTATGTATGGGAATATGGATTATGTTAATTTCTGTGTATTGGAGTTTTGAGTATGTTAATTTCTGTGTATTGCAGTGTTGATATGTTAATTTCTGTGTATTGCAGTGTTGATATGTTAATTTCTGTGTATTGCAGTGTGGAGTATGTTAATTTCTGTGTATTGCAGTGTGGAGTATGTTAATTTCTGTGTATTGAAGTGTGGAGAATGTTAATTTCTGTGTATTGAAGTGTGGATTATGTTAACTTCTGTGTTTTTGAGTGTGGATTATGTTAATTTCCGTGTATTCGAGTGTGTATTATGTTTATTACTGTTGATAGCAGTGTGGATTATGTTAATTTCCGTGTATTGGAGTTTTGATTATGTTAATTTCTGTGTATTGGAGTGTGGATTATGTTAATTTCCGTGTATTCGAGTGTGTATTATGTTAATTACTGTTGATAGGAGTGTGGATTATGTTAAATTTTGTGTAATGGAGTTTTGAGTATGTTAATTTTTGTTTCTGGGACTGTGGATTATGTTAATTTCTGTGTATTGGAGTGTGGATTATGTTAATTTCTGTGTATTGGAGTGTGGATTATGTTAATTTCTGTGTATTGCAGTGTGGATTATGTTAATTTTTGTGTATTGGAGTTTTAAGTATGTTAATTTTTGTGTATAGGAGTATGGATTATGTTAATTTCTGTGTATTGCAGTGTGGATTATGTTAATTTCTGTGTATTGGAGTGTGGATTATGTTAATTTCTGTGTATTGGAGTATGGATTATGTTAATTTTTGTGTATTGGAGTATGGATTATGTTAATTTTTGTGTATTGGAGTGTGGATTATGTTAATTTTTGTGTATTGGAGTATGGATTATGTTAATTTTTGGGTATTGGAGTGTGGATTATGTTAATTTTTTCTGTATT